GTCCGGCCCCGCCGGTCCCTGCCTCGTGGCCAGGCGGGAGCGTGGGCTGGTGCCGCGCCCGGGGTGGCCCTGCCCGGCCGTGGCCCGCCCGGGACGTGACGCCCGTGCGTCCGAGTCGGATCGATGCGTTCGTACCTGTGTATCGGAGGGGTTTTAATCCCCTAAATATTCAGATGTCGTTCTGGAGGCGGTCGCTCTGCCCTTCTGGTGGCTGCTACACGCTCAATGAAGTTTTTTTTATGAAAGTGAATATTGCTGGGGCTTTTTCAGGAATAACAACCTAATCTGCAGTACGAGCAATGGCATGCTGTCTGTGTTCCGTGAGGATACTGTCTTAAAAAGCAGCTGGCTTGGTGCAAGGGAAGGCTCTGGCTGGGCTTTTGCCTACCTGGGAAACGCTTGGGAGCCACAAACTTTTTTGAAGAGGGATAAGGTATGAAATGAGGGAGCTGGGACCGCTGAAGCCTCTTGTTTGCTCCCCCAAATGACCTCAGCGGGGGGAGCCGTGCTGGCGAGCCCATCCAAGCCCACAGGAGAGATGGGCAAGGTGACCTCCTCGGCAGGGACCCAAGGTCCCCGCGATTGTGAAACCGGTATTGCAGCCGGACGGGAAACCGCCTTCTTACCGGGGGGAGAAGTCCACTCGCTTCAGGGTGACACGGGGAAAGCCCCCCCGTTAGCGGCCCTCTGGGCTGCGGGACGGCTGGGGATGCCCAGTGCCGGCGGGCTTAGGAGATTTTGGGTTTTATTTCTTGATAGCTGCTTCCTGCGGGCTGGCTGGGAGTTGGCGGCTGTTTCTTCGCATCACGTGGCGATGGAGGAGGCGGGAGGCTGCGATGAGAGGCTCCCGCTTATTGCAGCCGCGTTAGGGCATCGCATCCTGGGGAGGAAATGCCGGGGAGCCGTGTGCTGCGCCTGACTGCCCCGGCGATAGCAGACACGGCCGCGCTTGTTCGGAGCTGTTGGAGCAAAAAGAGATGTCTGAGCCATCCCCGGCAGCCTCGGCATGCCAAGGAGCATCTTTCGACATCTGAAAAGCGGCAGATAAAGCTGGCTGTGGCCCACGAGCACTTACCAGGGTGGTTTTGCCTGCACGCAGCGGGGTGGCACGTGCTCCTTTGCATTTGGTTTTACTTTTCTCCCTCCTGGCCAAACAGCCCCTTCTGGGAAAAACCCCTGCGAAGAAGAGGAAGGGGAAAAAAAAAATTAAAAAAAATAAAAAAAGAGGAATAAATCGGCTGTGTTTAATCCGCCCACTGCTTTCCCCAGCCGTGGAGTTTCAGTATTGCAAGCTCTGGCTGCACGTGTTAGCATTCAGCCAGGCGTCCCCACGGCCCTGATTCCCGAGTGCCTCTCTCTTCCCCGTGGACTCCGGCCCCGGTGGCTCTCCTGCAGCCAAGGGGAAGAAAGGAGGGCATGGCCACGCCGGCTGCAAGGGGATAGTCCCGGAGGGGAAGGGCTGATGGTGACAGCAAACGCAGAGCTGTTTTCTTGGGTCTCAAATGACGCAGGTGTAGGGACGGCACTGGCTAGGGCAAAGCCCCAGTGTACTTCATGGAAAGAGGGAGCCCATTAGTGTCCTCATCCTAATGAGTTTTATGAGCTCAACCCATATCTGACATCAGAGAATCCACATGGCTAGCTCTGGCCGCCGCTGTGGGATGACTTGCTCTGTTCTGCATCCCTCCAGCAAGGCTGGAAGTCGGAGCTGGCTGCCTGCTTTCCCACTGAATCAGTGGGAAGGGGTTGGGTATTCCTGAGGGGAAAGGTCTCCTTGTAACGGGGTTACGAGGCCTTTTCCTTCCTCTCCTCCCTAAAAAGGCATCTCCCCTGCTGCGGGTGCCAGCAATTTGGAAACAGGGCGATTGCGTCGGTGCTGCCGATGTGCCCAGCGGCCTAACCTGGTCCCGTGGTGGCGGGAGGGCCAGTGGCACAACATCCCCAGCGCCACGCGTTCTGTAGATCGGTGTGTTTCAGGGAAAGGGGAAAAAGCAGCAGGGAAGTGTTGGAAGTCACAAGATCCCGGGTTTCTGTCCCAGCTTGTTCACCCCGAGCATCGTCACCACATGGAAGGGATCCCACGCCTGCATCTCCCTCCCACGCAGCATCTCCCAGGGAGACGGATTTAAACACCACCCTCCCAAGAGATCCCTCTCGGGCCGCTGGTGGGTGGGGAGAGCGGTCGGCTGGAAAGGAAAATAACCCAGTTTGGGACCCCCCGCCCACCCGGCCGAGCCCCCTCCGGCTTCACATCCTCCCAGTTGTGTGTGAGGAAAGCCCGTGGCTCGTTTTGGGGGGGGCACATGGCAACGTGCAGCTGACTTTTCCTCCTGGGCACAGCCCCCCAAAATACCTCAGCCAGCATGCGGTGATGGAGGTGCCTGCAGCAAGCCCCCGGGCTGGGGCCAGGAGGGACCGGTGCGGGTCGGCCTCCTGCCTCGGGCCAGGGCCTCGTGTGGAAAGCAGGAGTTTGGGGTTTTCTCCAATCTTTTTCAATTTGAGGGGAGGATTTTCCCTGGATCTAAGTGATGGCAAATTTAATTGGTACTGGGTGTCTTGGAAATACCCTGAGGCTCCTGAGGATAAGGCTGTTGAAATGATGAGGTCGCCCCATGACCCCTTTCTTTGGGGAGCTGCTTCTGAGGGTGCAAGTGGGGAGATGAGCTTCCTTCTTGTCCGCAGGGAAGCATCAACCGTCCAAAGAGGTTTTCAGAGGAGTCCAGGGAAGCAGCACCCTACCTGGAAAGCGAGAAATTGTTGAAGTTTGGAAAAGAAACCCAACCCGAAGGAACAGCAGAGGGGTGCAGCCCACTCGGCCACGCCAGGGCTGCTGTTTTGGGGAAAACCTCTGGGTTTGAGCTGGGGCTGGGGAGAGGCAGGTCTGTGCGGGGCCATCCCCTGGTGTCCCCCTGGGCCAGGCTGGGCATGCGGGGGACAGAGCTGCAGCTGGGCCAGGGCACCCATGCTTGCGGCTGGGTGGCCAGTGGACATGTGACCCCTGTTTCTGCCTGTAAGCGGTCTGGCAGGGCTCTGCCTGCACGGCAGGGAGAGCTGGCAGGGTGCAGTGTGTGGTTTGCCAGCGCGGGCTGTGTGTGGCTTGGCTCTGGACTCCAGCCGCGCTGCAGAGCCGAGCCACCACGCTCAGGTCCCTTATCTACCCTCGCAAGTCTCCCCAGTTATCTGCTCCGTTTCCCCTTCTGTGGACAAGGCTTTTATCTTATCTCCATGCGCTCTTCCTCCATTTCCTTCTTTGCTTCTCTACTACCTCTTGCCACAAAAAGAAAAAAAAAACGTGGGGTGAGGAACAGACACGAGATCCTACTGCAGTAAGTCCATCCATGGGCTTGGGGGATGCTGGGGGAAGTTTGGCTATGCTGGGAGGATGCTGGGCCATGGTCCAGCAATGCTCAGGTGGGTCTGGGGGCTTGCTTGGGTGATGTACAGGATGCTCAGGTAATGCCGGGTGATGCTGGGAGGATACTGGGTGATGCTCCAGTGATGCTCCTGGGGCTCAAGCAGTGCTGAGGTGTCTCAGTGGGATGCTCAGGAGATGCTGGGCAGTACTGGGAGGTTGCTGGGTGATGCCGGGAGATACTGGGAGGATATTTGCAATGCTCGGGGGATGCAGGGCGATGCCTGGGAAGGCCGGGCGATCCTGGGATGGTCTGCCAGCTCCACCTGCTGGCATGCACCGCCTGACACTGCGGGCCGGCACCCAGGCCCCGCCGCAGCAGCTGCCCAAAATTAGAAGAGACCATAAGGGAGAGGGTCTCCCCGAGCTGCAGGCTGCTGCGTTGGGGGAAAGCCTCAAATTAGCTTGAAAGGTGTAATTGGTGGGGAATTTTGGGCAGTCTGTGTTTGTGCCTCGCTGCAGTCTGCTGGCTCTTCACCTGAGCTGACCCGGCTTTGCTCCCCACTGCCTGCAACAGACGCTCATTGAGGCTTTGCAACCAAAGTGGCGAGAGCTTTTCAGGGCTTTTCCAAGGAGGCGGACGGAGAAACACTCGGCCAGCCTACCAGGATCCCCCTGCCGGCTCTGGGCTCCCACCCTGGCTCATGCAGGGCTGCCCCGGCCAGCACCGAGGAAGGGGAGCACCTGACCAGATCCCTAGCTTCCACGCCGAGGATCAAATGTTGCTTCTCATTTGGGGTGGGTTTTGGTTTTTTAGGATCTCTGCCAGGTGCTGGGAGTATGGGAGAAGGGAAGCAAATCCCCGTTGCCCTTGGCAGAGGCTGACTGTGAGGCGAGCAGGGCTTGCCATGGCTCCCCTCCTCTCCTTCAGCCTTCCAGTGCAATGCTGAGCATCGCAAATGAATAAGGAAAAGCTGGTGCCATTCCACTGTGGGCTGAGTGCTTGCCATGGGGACTTGCTTTGCTCATGGTTTATTTTCTCTCTCTCTCCTGGTCAGGAAGGCCAGCTCACCTCTCCCGTCGCACGCCCCAGTTGGGACGCCGGCACCAACATATAAATGGCCTCAAAACGGCACTTGGAGTCTCTGGACCCCGTGATTTTCAACAAGCTACCTCGGCTGGAGACAGAGCCCACCACCAGCTTCCCCGATGGCCTCTGCAAATCCAGCCCTGTACCCAGCTCTGAAAACCATTTCAACTACAAGGGCTCCTACTTCGCCTGCCCGCTGCAAAGTCCCGATGGCCCCGAGCAGCCCCTGGTGCGCTGGAGCCCAGCGGCCACCTACCTGCACTATGGCACTGGTGCTGGCAGCCAGCCCATGCCGGTGGAGGGGCCGCTGGTGAGCTGCCTACTGTACCGACCCGAGAGCCTGGGGACTGGGCTGCAGCCCCCGGGTGCCGAAAAGGGCAAGGACAGCCTGATGCGGGAGCTGCTAATGGCGAGGGAGAAGTGGACTAGCCCACCACCAGCTCCAGGACACCCCTTCCCAGTGAAGAAGCCAGTGGCGGTGAACAAGGCCGCCCCCCTGGCTGTCCCCAGGCCGGTGTACAGAGCCCCGGCATGCTTCATGGACCCCAGGATGGCCCTGCCACTGGGAGCCCGGGCAGAGAGCCTGCAGCAGAGGCAGAAGGGGCCTCGCCCCGCCGCCCCCCCCGCCAGCCACCCTCTCCACCCTGGCGAGCCCCGTGGTGGCACTGGGCTGCACAAGGGGGGTCCCCACTCCGACCCCAGCCTCCCACCGCTGCACCCCAGCCTGGCGCTGCCTGCCAAGGAGAAGGTGGGCTCCCCCGTCGCCTTCTCCCCCTACTACACCACCTTTGAGAAATACAGGGGCCCCCCCAGTACCCCTTTCCTGGAAGCCAGCTGCCCCGCTACCCACAGCCAGAGGACAGTGCCCAAGGTCCCCAGCCTCAGCCCGGACCCCTGGCTCAAGCTCCAGCCGCCCACCGCCAGCCCGGCATACCGGGAGAGGCCGCCGGCGTGCTACCCGCAGACCCACTACCCACTGCCCCTCCACAAGGCTGCCCTCCTCTACCACCCCCCGGCTCCCACCATCAAGGCACAGCCTAGCTCCCTGCCCAGCGCCTACAAAGGCTTCAGCTTTGCAGGAAGCGGGGAGCCCTTTCCCAGTGCTTACGTTAAGACTGAAGCCCCAAGGAGCTACTTTTCCAGCCCTTTGGACACCTGTGTGCCAAGGGCAGCCGGTGCTGGTGCAGTGGCATCACCGCCTGCCAAGTCAGTGGCGCTGCCAAGGGATGCCGAGCCACCGCAGCGAGCTGGCTACTTGCCGAGCCCTGGCTTCGCCTTCAGCCCTGTCGACACGGCTGTATTTGGCACCTCCTTTGCCAGCACAGAGCCGGGCTGCCAGCAGCGCCGGGCGGAAAGTCCCCGGCAGCGAGCAGCAGTGAGGCACAACAGCGCTTTTCAACCCGTCTGTGTCCTGGAGAAGGTGTCCAGGGGCTCCAGTGGGCTCGCAGAGACATTTCCCAAAGGAGAAGGGGGCTGGGTGAAGCCCAGCCAGAGGGAGAAGGAGCCCCCCTGCCCAGGGAGGAGGAGAGCCAGCCCGGCCCCCCAGGAGGCCCCCCGCAGGGAACCACCAGCTCCCATCGTTGTAGGGAAGGGAGATGCCTGCAAGGTCAAGGATTTAGCCAAGGAGCTCGTCCCCCCTTCTCTGGCTGCCTCCCCCCTGGAGGGGCTGAAAGTCCCGAGGGACGGCGAGGTTTCTCCTTCCTCCCCACCCATGCCAGTGATCAACAACGTCTTCAGCCTGGCACCTTACCGAGACTACCTGGAGGGGACTGAGAGCTCAGCCCAGGTCCCCTTCTCCAGGGACCATCTCCAGGGGGACACCCCACCCCGGATCGCAGGGAGCAGCCGTGAGCCCGCTGCCCTCGGGGACGTCTTGGTGATGTCCAGCCTGCTCCCCACGGGGACGGCGGCTGGCCAAGCGCTGAAGACAGGCAGTGGTGCGGTCCAAAGCCAAGGGGAAAGCTGTTATGGAAGGGTCCCTGAAAAGCCAAAGCTCGTTCCCCAAGACCTGGGGTCTCAGGGGGGCAGCCCCAGCGGGGCGGGGAGTGGGAAGCCGGCCCCCGAGGGCATTGCGCTGGACCTCAGCTTGAAGAAGAGACTGGTGAAAACCGGGGAGACCCGGGGACCCATCGGACGCACGGAGGGGATGCCTGTTGGGGAGGATGCGGAGGAGGAGAAAGAAGGTCCAGGGGGGAAGGGGAGGGAGGGAGAGGAGGCCAAACCCCAGGCGCTGCCCTTGCTGCTTGAGGTGGGCTCTGGGGACAAGAGCAACTTCCAGAGCTCAGCCACCTTCATGTTCAAAAAATACAAGATCCTGCGCTCCCTTCCCCCCAGCACCGTGCCCCCCCGGCAGGCTGGCAGCCCCCACGCCCCCCAGCCAAGCAGCCCCCCGACCTCGCAGCCTGTCCCCCAGCCCAGTGCCTGCGCTCTGCGGGAGGCTCACCCGGACCTGCAGCAGCCCCCGCAGCCTGAAGCTCCCCACGCACCAGGAGAGGAGAGTGTCTCGCTGCCCGGGCAGTGCGAGGCCCCTGCCCCACAGACCTCCGCCGGCCAGTATTTCACCACCCTGCACACCTCACTCTGCGACATTATTTCATGCTCGGTGTCCAGGTCCTCCCCGGAGCTCCTGCGGGAGTGGTTGAAGAAGGCAGAGCCGGCAGAGGAGCTCGGAGAGATGCCCAAATCCCCCCCCAAGCCCAAGAATGGCTCCAAGATCCCTGAACCTCAGAAGCCCACCAAAGGCAAGGAGATCTGGCTGGCTTTCCAGGACGTGGCTGCTCTCCTCACCAACCTGCTCTCTCAACTGGAGACCTTCATGTTCGCTCACAAGTGTCCTTTCCCCCACGTAGTCCGTGCAGGGGCTGTCTTCATCCCCATCCACGTGGTGAAGGAGAAGCTCTTCCCCAAGCTCCCCGGGGCCGCCGTTGACCAAGTGCTGCAGGAGCACAAGGTGGAGCTGCGTCCCACCACGCTCTCGGAGGAGAGGCACTTGAGGGACCTGGAGCTGAAGAGCTGCACATCACGCATGCTGAAGCTCTTGGCGCTCAAGCAACTCCCTGACATCTACCCAGACCTGCTGAACCTCCACTGGCATGACTCCATCAGGCAGCAGCTCGGTAGGTCGCCTGGCATCTCCTGTGGAGGGCTGGTGACACCAGTGCGTCCCTGGGACCATCTGCCTCCCAGATGCTGCTGTTTGGTGGGAGCATCCATCGCTTGCGTGGTCCCTCAGCATCCTTGTCCCACCAAGGGTTCTGCAGAGCAGAATATTTAGCTTTTCTCCATGGGTTGTGGAGGGAGAAAGCTTGAACTAGGGGTGATGGTGGAGCCGGAGGGGTTGTCCCTGCCTGCCTGAGTGAAAAAAGCCATCGTGGGGATATCAAGGAGGTGTCGGTCACCTCCAGGCCACCTCTCCCCCTCCAAGGGCAGCAGGACTGGGCGGCTCAGGAACATGCTAGGAGTGGGGCAGCATGCATGCTGCATGCCGGGCCTGCCAGCCACGGCTGTCCCATCCCACCGGTGACAGTCCCAACACCCCTCCCTGTCCAGACGCTCTTTTGCTGCTGCTCACGGCCATTGCCAACAACTTTATTTCTTACAGGTTCAAGCTCGCAGGCTGGCCAGCATCTTTCCAAGTAGGTAACTCTTCTTGTGTGTGCATTTATATGTATTTATAGGATTTATACGTAGTTAAGTGAAGGTGTATGTGTATTTGTGTGTATTTGCCATGATGATGGGGAGCTTGGGCTGGCTGGGGAGGAGCACACGAGTGGCTCTGCAGCCTGGGCTGGGCTGGAGGGGGGATTGGTGGCTGTGGGGGGGATTATTTGGGATGGGGAGGTGAAGGCCCTGCTGCCCCTCACCACCCTTTCCTCTCCCAGGGAGCCCTGGCC